CAACTCTAGTCCATATTCCGTCCCCCTCCGAGATGGATAGCCACCAGCAACATTGATAAGAGTTATTTGAAATAAAAACTTATTTCATATACAAATTTATGTTCATTGTCTTGGGACCAATAAGACCACTTCTTCCCCTAGGGGTGATACCTGGCACATAAATTTGTAGATTTGAGCTTCACTTCATCCCCTACAATGAAGTACACAGTGAAAATTCTCTGGTATAGATCATGGCATTCTTCAATAGTGACTTCCTAGGGATTACATAAGCCATATAGTCTGTGTTTCGTGGGTGAAATTTGAATTTTGGTACCTCTCAACTACAGTTCATGTTTGCTTTTTCATTCTCAGCCAAGCTCAACTTGGAAAGGAAATGACTCCTTTGCTGCTATACAAGCAGCTAAGATAGTGGTAGCTTCAGTGGTGACGTCATTTCCAGCCATCTACAGTACGTCAAGCAAGGGAGCCAATTCCCTTGATATAGGTAGATGCTTCATTTTGTCTTTACAACCTTTCGTCAGTGGTGGCAATTGGACGGGTTGGGTTGGGTTTGGTTTGGATTGAGTTTCAACTCAACCCATTTAATCCGCCAACCGATTAATTATCCAGTTATAAAAATTAAATGGATTAGGTTCAACCCAAACCCACTTTAACCTAATTCAATCCACCTAAACCCATTAATCTTATATTTATGGACTTAAAAAAAAAAACTAACTCTCTCTTGACAAATAAATTGGTCATAGCTTGGTGGTAATTGTAATTACTATTTATACAAGTGGTGAAGGTTCAAGTCGCATTACATGCATGTTATTTTTACACAAGTAATGAAGCCATTTGACTATGTTTGGATTTCGGGTTTGATCGAAACACTTAGGTTCAAGTCGGTCATACCAACTTGAACTATCTAATTGGATTATCTTCAAGCTAATCACATAAAGGGTGGTTGAACAGTTTAGATCTGGATCAGTCCGGTTGGACTGGACCAGACTGGTTCAATAAATGGTGGATTGACTTGGACCGGACCATATCAGGTTTGTGCACGGATTCGGGACTGAACTGACTGACCCGAAGTGGGTCAACGTAAGTAAATCGGGCCAATTCGGATTCGGGTCGAGTTGTATGGATATTGGTCGGCTAGACAGTCCAAACCGAGCAAAGCACGCTGACACCAAACCATCCCGCTTGAAACCGTTTGGGATTCGGGTTGACCCGGATCGAATTGTATCGGACCGGGTTGGGCATTGCGAATACTGGTTGGATCGAACAAATCAAGCCGGGCAGAGCAAGCAGTACCAAACCATCCCGCCCATGGTGGATTCAGGTCAACCTTGATCGGTATATGCTAGATCGGGTCAAACCACGTTGAATTGGTCCGAACTCGGGCCAAATTGATTTGGATTTATGTTGGGTGAAGTGTGTTGATTCAAGACCAAACTAAATTTAGTCAATAATTAATAGAAAATGAATGCATTAATTATAAATTATTTAATTTAAATGAAGAAAATAAAAAAAAAGTTAAGGAATTAATACTTATGTTTGTAATGATTAACCCAATGGTTATCTACAACCCAACCCAACCCAAACCATTTAAATGGGCGGGTTGGGTGATGGGTTGATCACACAACCTACCAAGTAAATGGGCGGGTTGGGTGGGTTCAATGCAATGGGTGAAAAATTGCCACTCCTACCTACGGTCCATGACCATATATTGAGGTAACTAGTAGAAAGATATCTGTTCACCAAGCTATTTGAGGCCTTGGTAGAACCCAACATTATCTGTAGGAGGGGCCAAGCAACTAAAAGTGTTGGTATAACTGCAACACTTGGAAGTGATAGCTTCTGATGGGTGGCTAGCAACAAAATAGCATATATGAGCGTCTGTTTGGCATCGATGCCGTTGGTCCAGAAAACGGTGCTGATGCCCACGTAAAAAAAAATGATGTTCCAAGAAATGCTTGTTTGTTTGGAACCGTTTTTCCATAAAAAATGATGTTCCAAGATGGTTTGGAGCAACGCCAAATTTGACATTTCCTTGAGCTGCAGCTCATTGCTATCAACAAAAACATGAGGTGGCAATGACGTGGCACTGAATAATGGGTACCAGTACTGAAAACATTTCCTAGAAGCATTGATCTTACCTGACAGCAAAATTTTCAAACAAAAAAAAGACAACATTTTTTCGGTGCTTCCACCCACACATCAATGCTGTATCTGCAGCATCTTGGAATGTGCCTAATGAGACTATTGGGGTAACATATGTCACTTACCAATACTTTCTTTCCAAATGTGAACTCACGTGAACCTTTTTTTTCGTGGGCTTTGGTATCCCAATTTCTTATTTTGAATATAATATTTGAGGGTTGGACTACTAAACCCTGCCTTGTCATGAGAAGCATCTTCCATTAGGACTTCTTCAACCTTCTCTAGCAGTCTGTCAACATTATACCCATCCCTCTTGTATTTCTAAGAGTTCTTAGAAATCAAAGCAAGTCATAGCCGTGTTGGATCCTTGTCAAAGATACCAAAATAGGACTATAGGGTTGGAATGTTGGTAGATCTCGGCCGGGGGTATGATGTTATTTGCACTACCCTTCTGAACATCACCTGACATCGTTGAACTCAGTGCTAGGATCAAGGTCTTTCATTTCTTTTCATGAACTCCATGTTCTCCATGCCACAGCTACCTTCCTAGTGCTTTCAATCTACTTCAAACCTCCATCATCTCTCTTGAATGAGTATCAATGGATGAAGTCTGACAACCATGTTCTCTTGGAGATATGAACAACAACAACATGTAGTCAAGCTTTCTATAATTTGTTGGTCAGTTTGGTCAGAATCCTTTTTTGGATCCTCTGGTTTTGCTCGAGATCATAGTTTTTAAAACTGACCCAGTGACTGAACTGGTCAGGGGTCTGGTTATTGGGTCGAACGGTCTGACTGTTCAAACTGAATGCTTGGCCCATTCTGACAAAAAAAAAAAGATTAAAACCATTCAAACGATTAACCACCCAATTCAGTAATTTGCTGATCAAAATCAACGGTTTTAAAGAAAAATCCGTTTTTAGGGAAAATAGAATCGGTTCCCGGTTTTTCAGTCCAATTGTCCAGTCAGGTCCGGTTTTGAAAACCATGCTAGCGATTCAAGACCAGCTATTCTTACGTTATGATCAATTAGCTCTAATACCATTTTGTTACTTTTCTCTTTTGGTGGCAGAGGAGAGAGGAGAGGAAATAAATTCCCTGGAGCTATAATGCAGAGTATTGCTCATAAAGGTCTGAAACCTATTCATGGAAGGCTTCAGATGAGGAAGAAAAATGTAATTCTTTCTAAGAAATGTATTTCATAGATATAAGGTCATTCTTGGCTATTGTAATTGTCAAAAGCTAAACAACAGAATGGTTGGCAATGATTGCCACGTCATTCAAAAAGTAAGGCTATGTTTGAGTTGAGGGAAAAAGTAGGAAAAGGTAGGGAAATTTATACAAGTTTTATAAAGGTTTTCTCCTATTTTTCCTTTGTTTTTTCTCTACTTTTTACCTTCAAACCAAACACAGCTTAAGGGAAGGATGTACGTGACGGAAAAATAGGGCTTCCTAACAAAAAACAACTAAAGCCCACTCAAAAAATAGCAAACTTATTTGCACTATACATAAAATTCCTTCACCCCAATCTCCACTGCTATAACCGGTGAAAGCTTTATTTTCAAAAGGTCTGTTACTCTTGTCCTCCCAAATGCACCACATAGTAGTATGAATTGCAACCTTCTAGAAAATCCTACCCCTTTCACCCAGATTCCTACATTTCCATTGCAAGATAAACTCACCAAGGAGAGACACAAGAGAAGCTGCATTCATAAATCTTAAATCTAAAAGAAATTGTTGTACACTACAAGTCACCATGCAATTGATCAAGAGGTGTCCAATAGATTCCCCATTTTCAAAGCACACAATGCAAACATGAAGATAGATGCACTACTTCCCTACCCTTTTCTTTTGTAAGATATGACAAGTATATTAATCATGGCAAAGCTGCTTCGCACAAGGAAAAGGATATTTTCAAAGGGTCTGAAGAAAACCAAATCCTACTTGACGGGTAAGGGGAAGGAAGGGACCTTGAGACTAAACTAAGGAAGAAAGATTTGGTGGAGGAGCCATGCATTAGGGGTGCTAGACCAAATTAACTTATCATAGGACGAAGGGGAGAGATACGCATTAGACAACAACAAAAGATGGACAGAGAGGCGGTTGTGGTTTGGAAAAGACTCAAGTTACGACAGTGAAAGAAGGAGAGAGAGAGAGAAAGAGAGAAGGCCGTGAGGGTGTTTGGTCATCGCAATGGAGGTATCTCCTAAAAAATGAACAAAACATGAGAGTGGAGGCCTTGTTTAAGAGGACAATTTGTATACTTGAATTGGCTCAAATGTTAACACATGTATTGACATATGCCAATTAATTATTATTTTTTTATATGTTAAAATTTAAAATTTTTATGTCTTATATAAAATAATAAATTAGTATAAAATAAAAGATACTTTTATATATATATATATATATGTGTGTGTGTGTGTGTGTATGCACGCCAAGCCCGGCTTAAAATTTTTCAGGCTTGATGTGAGCCTGAACTGGGCCGGACTTTGAACATAAAAACCTGGGCTTAGGCCAAGAAATTTGATTAGCCTCTTGGAAATCATGATTCACGACTGAAAGATAGTTGCATAGCTGCATTTTATGAATTTGTTTGTAACTATGGATGCCTCTACCTCATATAAAATTTGTACTTATTTGCAATGCAAATTTAGCATCCCGAACAATCAATGCAAAATTTGTGTGCCACCTTCCTTGTATATTCGTTCATCTCTATACATTTGCACCAATGGATTCAACATTTTACCCCATTAATGTGCTTAGCATCAAAATGTTTTTTGTTTTGGGTTTGGTGTGAAAAGAGAAAGAAAATCGAATAAAGTAAATACATTGGCTTTATTATGTCTGATTGGATATTGATATAAGGTTTGTTGCTAATTACAAGAATGTCAAAAATGCCTTGGGCTCATATACAATTACAGTGCTTCCCCAGGATTAGAACTCTCAACAACCAACATTCGCAAATATAGGTAAATTAATTACTCTGAAACAAGGAAAACTGAAGATGATACATGAATCGAACTGGCAAACAAGATGTTTACGTAGGTCCTACTGCCATAGCAGTAGATATTTGGATTTTCACCTTACTCTGAGAGAACTTAGCATTTCTCATTGCTAGCTGGAGACTCACTTTTGGATGGGCATAAGGTTTTGGAAGTCTTTCACAGCTTGGTAGACAGCATGAAGAGTCATCTTCTTTATCTGTCAGAATGAGAAACAAAATAAGGATCAACAAAGTAGTCTATGCTCAAGGTGATCCTTGAGTATGAAGGTGCTACTGTGCTAGCAAACTCGCTGGTAGTAGTGGTGGCAATTGGGCGGGTTGGGTTGGGTTGGGTTTGGTTTCCCATTTAACCCGCCAACCCGTTAATGACCCAGTTATATAAAATTAAATTAAATAGGTTGGGTTAAACTTTAACCCGCTTTAACCCAATCCAACCCGCCCAAACCCATTAATCTTATATTTATGTACTTAAAAAAAAAAAAAACTAACTCGTTTTTAACAAATAAGTTAGTCATTGCTTAGTGGCAATAGTAGTTGCTATTTACACAAGTGGTGAAGGTTCAAATCACATTATACGCATGTTATTTTTATACAAGCAGCAAAGCCATTTAATTATGTTCGGGCTTCGAATTTGATGAACCACATATGATCAAACCGGTCAGACCAACTTGAACTATCTAATTGGATTGTCTCGAGGTAATCACATCAAGTTCAAGAGTGGTTGAACCGTTTAGATCCAACCGGACTGGTTCAATTCGATCGGGCTAGAACCGCCCGGGTCGGTTCAATCCAGTCAGACCGGACCGGACTGGTTCAACCAAATAGTGGATTGACTTGGGTTGGCTCATATCAGGTTTGTGCACGGGTTTGGGGCCGAACTGATTGGCCCAAAGCGGATCAAAAGGAGTAAGTCGGACCGGCCCGGATTTGGGTCGGGTTGTACAGATATGAACCAAACTAGACTATCCAAACCAGGAAACTGGGCAAAGCAAGCGGTACCGAGCCATCCCGTCCGAGGTCTATTTCGGATTTGGGTCAACTCGGATCAGTATATGTTGGATTAGGTTAGACCGGGTTGAACTGGTTTGGATTTGGGTCAAATTGATTTGGATTTATGTTGGGTGAAGTGTATTGATTTAAGACAACTAAATTTAGTTAATAATTAATAGAAAATTAATGCATTAATTATAAATTATTTAATTTAAATGAAGAAAATAAAAAAAAGGCTAAGGAATTAAAATACTAATGTCTGTAATGGTTAATGCAATGGTTATCCATAACCCAACCCATTTAAATGGGCGGGTTGGGTGACGGGTTTATCACACAACCCTCCAAGTAAATGAGAGGGTTGGGCGGGTTAGATACTGGGTGAGTTGGGTGGGTTCAGCGGTTTGGGTGAAAAATTGCCACCCCTAGCTGGTAATCCGTTGCTGATTGTAGTGGAGACCTGGGATTGAATCCCACCTTCATTAGGTTTAGGAGGGTTTTGAGGTTTGGCATAGGGATACCACCTTTGTTGTGTACCCCATTTGCGGTTTGCCTAGCAAGAAAAGGTGATCCTTATCTTGAAAATCAACATGCTTGATATGATGATATATGTAGAAGTGGCCATTTTTTATTAATAAAGGCTGTTATAGTAGGAATATTACCTCTAGCTTGTCTTCTCTGGCCCTGTGATTTTTGGGAAGTTGTCGGAACTCATTTGTCAACTGAAAACATTGGTGGACATTTTCAGGTGAGACAAAGTCAAGAGCAACCTTGGTGCACGACTGTTTCAGGGTGAGAAACAAAAAGAATCAAAAGATGGCCCAATAAGCAGGGAAATAGGGTATGTCAAAATCCACATGGTTGAATATGAAAGTACTTCACTTAGTACCTTGAGATTTCTGACTTGATGTGGACATCCAGCAGGAATAAATACAGCCTCTCCAACTCTTTGCTCAAACGTCCATGGTTCAACCCCTACAAAATTTCAGGGTCCCTATAAATTGGTTAGTTCTCAAAAGGCATTATTATTAAAAATTAAAATTAACCAAACAGAAACGCAACATCACATACTAACCAAACTCTTCCTTCAACTTTTTTTTGTGCTCAAATGTCAAATAGAAAGCTTGGTCATGAATAGGATGAATGACCTGATAATCACAAATAAACATCAATTTCAAAATTGCACTCCTTTTGCATAGATAACCTTCAATATTACAAACAATCTCAATAATACCTGTTCAATTGGAGAACAATAAGTATGCCTAAATTCCTTGTAATGCTTTCTGAGATAAGCCTGTAGTTTCCCAACATCTTCTCTCCGGAAGATGTCCCACAAAGCACCACCTGCTGCCTCACTCTGTCCTTCTGTGGGAAAGCCAGGAAAATTAGACTCTTCCTCATGATCTTCCTTTGAAACCTCGGTTGTTTCATTAGTTTCAACTGTGATACCACTGACATTTTCAGTTGTGGAAGCAGGATGAGCAGTTTTTCTGTGAGTTTGTACTCCAAATTCGTAAGACTCATCGTTAACATGATCTAGTTGAATTGTATCCAGACATTCCCTTTCATCTTGAGCTCTATGTTTCTTTTTCAACTTCTTTATAGAGGTGTGCTGTTCATCAGTCAGCACTATTTCTGTTGTGTGTGTTAAAATATTCACCTGCAGTGATTAAAGAAGTTTGTTAAAATGGAAACTATAGTATTTTTTTATGACTATCACCCAAGATTGTTGAGATATTACGTCACTAATTTTGGATCATCAGCCACAAGCCCTCAACTGACCAATTAAATAGCACCTTCAAGCTATTTTGCTATATAAATGGCAGAATCCAGTTATTTATATATCTCTGAATAAGGAAACCAGTCTTGTGAAATTTTAATTAGATAAATTGGAAGACATTATAGTTGGGATAAGGCTTGGATAATGACGATGAAATTGGAAGACATTCCTAAGAAGATAATGGCTTGATGTTTAGTTTCCAACCAAGTCTAATAGATTAATAGCTTGAAGGTGCTATTTTTTTTTTCATAATGAAGTTATTTTCATATGACAATTGAAAAAGAAGAAAAACAGGAAATTTTTGGTTAAACATATCAGATAGCAATGGCATATGAAATCGTACAAGCATACCGCATCTGACAAGTCACAATGAAGCTTAGTAACAGAATCTCCTCTTCCAAGCTCTTCAGCAATCCCATAAGCAATATATGTCTTTGGTCCCAAGTCTGGCTTTAGGGTATCCTGTGGCAGTTTTGCAGCAAGGTTAAGTAATCCGGACTTTGGATCTGTGTATTCCTGAAGGGGCAATGCACTGATGAATTCATCAAAATGGCGTGGCAAGAGATCCTCAAATTTATCAGATGGAGGATAGTCCTTCAGCTTAAGCATCTCAGGCCAAAGATCGTCATATGTTCTGCCCTCTGTATACCCTCTGAAAAACTTACAAGTGTTAATCTCAACCTGCAAAACAAAATTAAATTTAGTGTACAGCGTGATGATTTACATGATTCATACAATCCCTATAAGATTTGCACCATGTCCATCTAGACATTATTATTGGCAGAATTTGGAGAGAGAAAACAAACCTCACAACTAGCAAGACAATCGATGGCTCTCACTTGAGACTGTTTAGATCCATTCTTTGTATCCACATTTCCACATAATGCACGCCACATAACCATTGGCTCCCAACTCAAACCAGACGTCTGTTCAAGCACATTGCGAACAATAACAGGCTCACCATTGACCCAATGCCTCTGGAAGTTTACTAGTTCTTCATCCTGGAGAATGTCTTTTGCAGCTGGACAGTACAAGCAATTATCCTTTGAGCCTTTTCTTGAAGCCGCTTTCCTTGACATCTCAGTGCCCTTGCAACAGTTTTGCTTGGAGGGGTTTTGTTCAATTGCATATCCCCTTACTATTTCTTTTGCAGCCACTACTAAATCTGAAACCCAGTGTTTTGGAAATATTTGCTTAAGCTCCAATCTGCCACGACCACAGCCACCCAATTCCTCTGGAGGACATGGAATGCTTCCATCATTGTTGGCTTTCCATTCAGTCAACAAATCAGGATGATCTGTAGATCTATTCGCAAGAGTAGAAACTGGAAGAGGATCTCCACCTTGCATATAATCATATCCTCTGTTAGGATAAAGGATAGCAACTTCCTTGGGACCTCCTAAAAGGTTTCCCTCACGAAGCTCCCAACAACAACTGAGACAAAGCTCATAACAACAATTTGGGCAACTTCTGTGAAGATCAGCAATTGAAGTGGCACAATTGTCACTGCTCCACCATCAAGAATGAATCAGTAAACACGACAACACAATAACTTAAATAAAATAAAATAAAATACACCAAGAAAAGAAGAGGCTACCAGTAGACACGCTCATCATTGTGACAATTTGCTAGTGGCAGTTCAATTTCAGATGAGGTTGACCCTGTTTAGCAAATGAAACATTAACAATTAACGAATTCTATAAGACAGAAATGAAATTCAAAGTCACAGAATTAGTACCTTTAAGTCTAGCCTCAATTTCAACCTCTTCAGATTGTTCTTCATGTATTTTTTCCAGAAAGGGAAGGAGACAGTGGATCAAATACTGAGCATATCGGGCCTTTTCTTGTTTTGTAACCTCCCGCTGAAAGGTCTACAAATTAAAAAATGAAAATTAATGGTATCAGAATACTGCTCAGAAATGTAGAAAGTTGAAGTTTTGGTTTTTGGTAGAATACAATAAAACAGACCTTGAGACTTCTACTGGTATGCAAGCATGCGTTACAGTTGCAATTCCTGCAGCAGAAAGGGCAATTTTCTGCAATTTTTTCAAGTGAAATCTGAGGATACCTGTTAAAAGGAAAATCTGAGCCATACAATTCGAAATTGCGGATGGTTTAATATATATATAGTGAAAACAATTTGACAGATTCTTATGTGGGGGTGGGGAAGAAAACATATGGTTACAGAAGATCACCATTTTTTTATGCACTGAACACAATACATTTTCTCTTTACACTTGAAGCATGGAATGAACATTCGCCTATCTTTCCTTTTACACTGATGGCAGCACTTTGCACTCTTCTCTTTCTTTTCCTGCTTATGGAAAGAATCCTAAAGCCAGAGAGAAAAGAATATCCTTCAGTAGAAAAGAATAAAAGTGCAAGCAAGCAACTAGGAAACAAAAGAATAGTAAAAGGTTTGAGAATGCTTGTTTACCTTAGCATGGCTAGTTGTGTATCTCTGGGCATTACTCCCATCACCATTGAAAACTGTATTTGAGGAAGGAGAGGAGGATTGAGATGATAGTGAAACATGTGCATAAGAAGAGAAAATCCTGCGATCATAATCTCTCTCTTTTTCCCTTGAATTCTTGATCTTCCTCACAACATTGCAGTCTCTAGAGCCCCTACATGCTCTCTTCTTCATCAAAGTCAAATTTTCTTCATCTTCATCATAAATATCTTTTTTCCTTTTAATGACCCTCTTCCTTCTACATGCATTTTGCAAAATTTCTTCAATGTCTGAAAGCCCAATTCCTTGGGTTCTTGTCTTTCCCTTAAGTGAAGTTTTTGCCCCTGTTGGTGGCAATCTTGTATCTTCTTTTGGTTGTTGTCTTGGTGATTTAACATTCGATGCTTCTTGGATTTTCTTCATTTGACTATTTATACTGTTTTGGTCCAAACATGCTTCCTTTACAGTTAAATCCACCATTGTAACTGGAAGAAACAAAACAGATCCTTGTAAAAAAAAAACAACAGCATTGGAGTAAAGGACATAGTAGATTCTTTAGACTTTGTATCCACCTAACTAATTTTACAACCAATTTAGAATTGTGTCTTTGTTAATGAACCCTGATCAAGCATTAATAGAAAACCATTACATTGTCAACTAATAAGAGTTATGGATTATGCATCACAATTGGCAACTGAAATAAAAAAAAAAAAATTAAAGACAAGAGAAGGGAGAAAATTAAAAACCTGACAGGTGGGGAGGTCAACTTTAATATAATCTGTCTAATATAACAGATATCCCACTCCTACCTCATTTAGGATTTGACTTTGGATGATAAACTAACTCTAATGAAACATATTCAGTTGAAAGTTGAAACAAGTTATATTTCAACTCGGATAAGTAAAACAAATGTGTCAAATACTACATAGTAAAAGTTGACTTGATGTCTCGATTAAAAATATTCGTGTATCCATGGATATTATCTGTACTGCATTCTCAAATTCAAAGTTGGTATCCTTGTAAGACTTTTTGTTTTATTTTCTTTTTGTTGTTTCCTTCTGGGGTTGGACTTAGACCATGTAGCTAGACAAGATGGGTACTTTATCTGGGATCATGAACTGCGATGCATATACTGGTGCAGAAACTGGTATGGAGTCCAAGATTGGTTATACATGCTAATATGGATCCAACATGAGGCGTCAAACCCAGAACAATATCACCCAACCTAAAAGCTATCAATTGCCAATATCAAATCATTGATTCACTGACTATCCCTTTTTCTCTATCAATAAGAAATACCATGCATTGAAAAAAGTAATCAGGAACACTACTGTGTATGTAGAAAACTAGCAAAGCAGAGTTGAATCAAGTTAACTCAACCTGATCAACCGCTTCTAAAGACAATCTACTGAAAATCCTAGGAATTTAGACTCAGAAACTCTCATTGATCCACTCGAACTTGGGTATCTTTAAAACGGATATTAGTTGGTTGTCGAGTTTCTAACGAGCCTCATATCCGATATCAATATTCCTCAGCCTTCTTACGTTCAAAATAGCACAAAAAAGAACAGAGGATGGAGAGAGAGAGAGAGAGCCAAAAAGAAAAGAAACCATTCATAGGATTTGGGAAGAAAGAGATGGAGATTCATGACGAGCAGCTGAATCACCTGTACTTGAGCTCGAAATCGGAATTAAGAATGTCGTTGATCTCGATTTTATTTTTCCGCCTGAAAATCAGGAATGCCGTGGACGTGGAGTAGATTTATAAGTGCAACGAAGAATAAGAACAGAAAAAAAGGGACTAGGGACATTGACGAATCCAAGTAGGACTGTTAACTGTAGCCCGTAGGAGTCGGGGAGGGAAAGGAAACCGAATTGTGGAATATGGGAAATTATTGTAAACTATACGTTATAGCTTTTAAAGGTAAGAAAAACGTCACTTTTCCGGGTAAAGTCGTGAAGCTTTGTGAGTTGTATCTGCACCTCACAGCACGTCCCAGCCGCACATCAGTAGCATCTCCCGTACTTGAATATTATTATTCATGGGAGATGCTCTCAATGCACGGTTGGATGTGCTGTGAGGTAGGCTTGAGGAGCGCATAGTGAGGAGCAAATCGCAGTTGTTTCATCCAAATATGGACTAGTGATTTGTCAATCTCGGATTCTCCTGTTTTATTTCATTAACAGACTCCGTGATATACGCGGCAATTAATTGGCAACCGGTGCCCAACCCAAATCCACATCACAAGTCTTCAAGCAGCATTCTTGATTATCAAGAAAAAAAAGTCTTCCAAGTGTTTTAGATTATTATTTAAATGAAGAATATAATAGTTTTAATTTATTTACGGTGTAATACTGTAATCTCTTTGTATTATTTGGGGAAAAAAACTCATTTGTATTAGTACAAACGCATGAAGTGCAAATGAAAGGCAATTTTCTGAGCTGCACCATTTGCTTGCTTATGCTGCGTTTGGAAATGATACAAATAAAGTCTAAATGTAAATTTGCAGAGTGCATTTAGCTCCATGCAAATATAAAGTTGGGTTAGTTTTGCATTGATAAATTTTATTACCAAACAATTTTTAATTTTAACAGATGCAAACACAAATTTCGATAGAATAATATACCTTTTTTCTAACAAAAGTCCATTTTGAATGCAAATTTACTTCTTTTTCTTAATGTAAAATTACATTTCATTTTTTATGTAAACATGCCTTGGAAATTATATTTTATATCAATGTCAATGCATAAATGCATTCTTGCCAAACACTAGCAAAACTGAACCAGAGTGCATATTTTTAGGGGTGTCCATGAAATACTGAAAAACCGAACCGCAAAATGCGGTTAACCAAACCGATCAGTTCGGTTTCAGTTCAGAATTTTTGAAAAATTGAAGGATCAGTTCGGTTTTCGATTAACCTATAAAAAAATTGGTAGTTAACCGAACCGACCAGTATATATATTTATATGTATATTTTATATATATTTTCAATATATGTCACATATTTTTTATGCATTATATATAAATATATACTTATATTATATTTACAATGATCTATTTACAAATACATTATATATTTTTAAAATATTTATAATATATTATATATCATTTATTATTTATAATATAATATTATACATATATTTATATAATATATATTATAAATATAAAAAACCGACAAAATGACAAACCAAACCGGTCAAAAACCGAAACCGGTGGACCAATTAATCGATGGTACTGGTTCGGTTTCGGTTTGGCGAAATGAAAAAATCGATACCACCGGTTCGGTTTACAAAAAAGGGCCATGGTTTGGTTAACCGAACCATGGACACCCCTAAATATTTATATTGAATTTGCATTTACACTATTTGCACCATTTCCAAATGCAGCCTTTAGGCTGTGTTTGTTTGCAATGCAATTTTATTTGCATTAGTACAAATATATAGAAGTGCAAATAAAAAAAATGCAAATTCTCATTTAATTTTGTTTTGGGTTTTACTTTATTCTGCTTCATGTCTTAATTTACTTCATTTGTATTACAATCAAACAAGATAAGCTAAAATTTGAAACAAAAATAGGTCAGAATTTACATTCAAATCATTTGCACTTATCATAATTTTACATCAGTGCAAATTTATATGCATTGCAACCAAACACAGCCTTAGGAACACAGTTGACTAAGCAATTCTTAGGTGAGACATTAAGAGGGTGTTGAACAACATGGTTACAACAACAAAATTGTATTGTTTTCTGGTGGTGTGACAGTTGTTTTGTTTTCAAAAACAAAACCAACCATGAGGGTGTTTGGTTCCATGGGCATTTATTGAAAAAACGCCACCACATCAGTGTCACATAGGCTTTGGTGTTTATTGTGCATAAAACCACTGGTTTCACCATTTATCAAATAAACACTAAAAATCATAAAATGTTTAGATTTTTGTGCACTAGGCATTTGTGGAAACATCAAATTTTTGTTTCCCCCAACACCCCAACATTTCTTGAAATGAAATGCTTATGTGACACACTATTATGAAGTTGTTAATCCGAGGTGGAAAGTAAAAAATGTTTAAAATAATGCCCAACTATGCAACAAAAATAAAAAACATTTAAAATAAAATTGTCCAAATAAACGTTTAAAGCAATAAATGACCCATTCATAAACGCCCACAAAACCAAACATATACCATGTTGTCCGACACCTCATAAACTACTATGATCGACTATGATGGTATGTAACCTCCATTTTGGATTAGTATTTTCCACCAGAAGTTTTACAAGTTATTAAGTGTCACCTTTAATAATTACATGGGTGAATTGTACATAGCTTAAGCATACTTCAACTGACATAAAGGAATTGATTTGGCAAGAGAAAACAGAAAATTTCCCAAATCACTGACCCAACAAAGACATTGCTTATTCCCAAAGCCGCGTCAACATTAATTTTCACAAACCCCACTAGAGGGCAGAAGTAACTTCCATCTAATAGCTGAATCCTAACTGCAAAATATTTTGGTGGTTCAAATATTTGGGCGGCTCACCAGAAAAACGGGGTTTCAATGGTGTGGGCTGGAATGATGAAATGTCCTTATGTGGTTAAGAAAAGGTACAAAGTGCCATTATTGGTGATGGTTGGGATGTGGACCTGGTACATGACCCAAGGTATGCAAATGGGTTGTTGCTCATTACAGGATGGCAATTTCGCGAGAATTTTTGGGTATCCGATCAGTTTCAACTCTAATAGGGTTTGAAGCGGGTTTGGGATTTTAGATTAAAACTCTATAGGGTTTGGGATGGGTTTGGGTTTTGACTTTAGGGTATCTGATACCCGATATCCGGTATGCATAAATATGAATCCATTATATTATATATCATGCACAAATTTATAAATTTTAAGTATTATGATAATTATTCTATTATTAATATTTTATTTATATAAATTTCTTGGGACTAAAATCATCATTTGATGTAAATTTTGATTTGATAGATTGTTTATTTCATTTAGTTATAAAATGCTAATTTTAAATATTATTTGTTTTAATTTGAAGTTGGAATTGTTAATCATATATATGTATTGATTGTTTTGGTGAACACAAAAGTTAATAAAAACTATTTTATTTCATTAAATAATACAAAAAATGAGATGGCTTAGTGGCTTAAAGTAATGCTAAGGGATTTGATGTATTAGTAATTGATCTAGGTTCAAGTCACGTTATAAGCATTAAGGAACTTTTTTTTAGTAGAAAACCTTTGTTCAAGGGGTTTAACGGGTTTGAAAAATTGAGAGAAAAAGTTAAGACGGGTTTGAAATTAGGGATGCATAAGCAGGTTCAGGAATGGATAGGACAATTTGCATTGCACGGGTACCCTAGCTATTCCTAATTACATTGACCATGAAAATATAAGGCCTTGTTCATTTTTCAAAAAGGCACTTATTCCGATAAATTCACTTGTCCATATTTTTTTATTCACATGTAAATAATATAATGATTTTTTTATTCATAAAAAGCTAATGTTAAAATCAACAAATTTGTCTCATAATGTTTTATAAACTTTTCCTCTAAGTGAAAAATTACTTATCCACCTGGGAGATGGGTACCCAAGGAAACTAACTTTACCATAGGCCCAGTATTTTCCAAAAAAGAACACTATATTTCCTCACTCTTATTTCCCGAAAAGGAATGGGGCCTAAATATGGTTTTGGATGTGCATACACCTGACAGGCTGATTTGGGCTTCTACGCCACATGGTAATTTCTCAACCACTTCAGCAATGAAGTGGAAACATCAACTGTCCAGCGACTGGCATGAAGTGGAAACATCTTTGGAAGTTGAGGTCATTTACTCCTTCCCTCGAGATATTCCTTTAGAGATGCATCCTTAATATACCGCCTACAAAGGAGAAATTGACAAAACATTATCTTTATATAGATGATATTTGCCCGCCCCGCTGTGTTGTGACTTGTGAGGGGATGGAAATTCTCTTTCATGTTATCTTTCTGTACTCAGGCGCACATGCTGTTTGTTTCGGTTCATTCCTAAACTACTGACCAACATAGTTGTGTGGGAGATATCATTGCTCAGTGGTGGAGCTGAAGACGAGTGCCTTCTCAGAGGAAGGGTGCCCATGCGGCAGATTTGGATGGCGAGAAACTAATTAATATTTAATGGGGTTGTCTTCAACCTGGCACATATCATCATTCTAAGGAGACATGCAAAAATTGAATTTATGCTCTCTAATCTACCTCTTCATGGAAATGGTGGCACTGAATTGCAGGATTAGAACTGAGAGAACCAAACTCCAGCTAAAAAAGAAAAATAGAAGGGATGCCATATTCCTATAATTTGTTTCTGGAAAATTTATTATCTGTAGAAAACATCCACGGATCACCGACTTAAGAGCACAGCATTGTTCTTCCAATTTATTTTGATTACCAGAATGATCTTTTCTCAAAGGTTAACAGGGCTTGAAACTTGGAGGTTGGAACCCATCGAATCTCTTGACACTTGAAACCTAACAAATATTTCAGAAGTGGTTGTCATAGTTCTTTCTTGCTCAAAAAAGTACAGTAAAAGAGATTCGTTTGTCAATGTAGACAATGTAATGCTCGGAAGGTTCCTCTAAAAACAACAAACTAGCTATTTGTACACAAAATTACACAAACACAGTTCTGTCTTTAGGCACCACCACCTCTGATTCACACACAAGTTAACATCTGCCACGGAATGTTTCTCCAGTTGGTTGGACTTTCATAATCAAAAGTTGCTTTTTCTCTATAGCACACTTTCTCACGTCATTTACAATGCTAATGTACAACTGAGTTCAAGTCCGTATAATCATTAAGGCTGCTCCTGAACAACCTCATGCAAGGAAGGTGATGATGAACCACTGTATTTGCTGGGCAATGGTGTGTTCCTTCGTGACTGGCGTTTCGTGGGGACAAGCACGCTCTCCTTTTGCAACTCTTCTGTAAATGCATCGCTATCCTCATCCTCCCCTTTGAAGACTGGGTGAACATAAGCATTTTGGAGATAACCTTTCAGATTCAGATTTGGCTCCCTTGCACGCTCCAGTGTATCTTTCATCATTGCTTCCTACACCCACAAAAAAGGAATTTTTAATGCTTGTCAAGTATGTGGTTAGTTCATTAGTCATGACTGCACCCTAGTAACTCTCAAAAGAAACAATATATGATTAGCAAACAAAGTTTTTACCATATCAGTAATGTAAGCCTTTAAATTGCAAAAGAATAGATTAAGCATCTGAGAACCCTTTTTGTCCTTTTGTGAATTTACAGACACTGGACAATAACAATGTTCTTACTTTAGAACTTCAACTGATGAATCAAGGACTTCTGAGGTAGACCTCCCATTTTTCCCTCCCATTCTCTACCAGTGGCATGGATGCAAAGTCTGGGAATGAACATTCCATTGGTCCCACACAAATGACCGCAAGAAACCTTTTCCCCTAACTTTTTTTTTTTTATTTTGAAAAAGGGAACAAGAACAGAGAAATGTAATATCTTATGCAAAAAATCCAAAACCAACATCTACTGATGTTAAGATGTTTATCTTCTTTATTTGACAGGATGTTCATTTAATTTAATCTTCCAAAATGATGCAATAAGATTGGATGATAATATCAACGAATCAGTTCAATTTTCAACCTGGAAGCTCTATAGAACACGCATTAGATTAGATTCTAGGTCTTGATCCTCAATGTGCATACCTACAGGGCCGCTTTTTTGTTTTTCTTGCTGTCCTGGTCATAAGGATCTCCTAGTTTCTGAATTACAGAGTTCTCCTGTAGAAGAATCAGAGAGCAACCCATGAACGATGCCTCTCAGCTTCAGTTCCATTACATTATGAGTCCCCAACAGTTTCAGTTTTACATCCTTCATTGTTGGATTATTTTACCATATCCAGGGTATGGAACATAATCCATGGAAATGACACACTACAGTGAGATCAAAGATTAAAATTTCGCAATCTATTGGTCCATATCGGCCAATACATATCATATTGGCAACCCTCCGACACGCTCCCCTACAGTCACTGTCTCGGGGTTTGACTTGTTTTCAGGGAATAGACAGGCCTTGTACCAATCCCTGAACAAGTTTGAGAAAAACTAAAAACAAAAAAGTAAAAACACCTATCTATACAGACCGATACGGCGGACCAATACACCCCATTGTTAAATTATGAACATATCCATTTTCCTTCAAATGACTTCATTTTTTAACACTATCTTTCCTAGTTTTTTCACCCAACCATATTGGCATACTCAGTTACACTCATTTTTTGGACATGTTTCTTGACTACCCAAAACTTTGCTCCATACAGAATAGTTGGCCTTGCAACTGTTATATAAACTTTTCCTTTTAACCTGAAAATGGTATTTTCTGGGCAATACTTTTAGATGTGAAAAGAAGCAAGAGGTGGTCAGATGCTTTCGTCCAACCATGGTAGGAGCCAAAGCCCATATTTTCTGGGCAATACTTTTAAATTATGAACGCTTAAATCATTTCTTACTACTTTGATCTATGACCTTTTTGGTCTACTCCTAGCCATTCTAGCCCCTTCAACTAGCAACAAATAACTTCTTTTTATGGGTACTGTCAATTGGTCTTCTATGCACATCTCACTGAACCATCTTGGCATAGTTAGTTCTGCCACACTCATTTTTTGGACATGTTTCTTGACTACCCAACACCTTGCAATTGTTTTATAGAGTTTTCCTTTCAACCTAAATGGTACTCACCAATCACATACAACTCTGATGCGCCCCTCCATTTTTCCCATCATGCTCTAGTTCTATTGAACCAAGGTACCAGAAAAGGTCAGATTGAGTTATCTCATGGTCTCCAATCCTAAGTGTACACACCCTGATTTGCACTCCTATTATTAAATTTACATAGCGTATATTCTGTTTTAGTCATACTTATTTTAAAACCTCTTGTTTTTAAGATATTTGTCCATAATTTAATTTTGTTGGGATAATGCATGGATGATGATGATGATGTCCATAGCTTAATTTTACATTAAAATCCTTCATTGATTTTATCAATTAAAACAATGTCATCAGCAAACAACATGCACAATGGGACCTGAATATATTTAGTCAATTCATCTATAATCAGTACAAGTAAATAAGAGCTAAGTGCAGAACCTTGGTAAAGACCCATTGTAATTGTAAAATTTGATGTGTCTCCCACAACTGTTCTAACATTGGTTGTTGCACAGCATATTCATTTTCATACAGATAAGAAAGCAGATGATAATGAAGGCAATAGAAAAAGGGCATTGAGCTTCTTTAATTACATTTAACTATCTTAAATATGATATTATAATCAATAATTTAAGGGCAAAAAAGCATCTTAAATGTCATATTGCAGGAATTAAATTAAAAGAGTATTGCTTAAATTTGAACTTCCAACTGACCTGTAATGGGTATCTGATAAATGCAGGTTCATAACGGCTTTTGCAAAATCTATGGAACCATATTGTTAGCACTGGAAGTGCAATGAGCAAGGGTGTGGACTGTGCAGCACGTTTTGTACTTAACAATCCCATCAGAAGCAGTTGTGAAATAATCAATGCAGTTATGATACGACCATGAACATCAGGCCAGAATGCTGCTGCACTCTCATATTCTTGATTGTAAACATTTATAATCTACAACACAAGACAGGAATTTTATTAGGGAAAAAGACAATAACTAGTGTTATTTGTAAAGTTCTGCATATGTTACATAGAAGAAAATGTGTAGATACATATGAATATGGAGATATTATTTGCAGTGAGAAATAGAAAAATTGGTGTTGGTATAATTTCATGAGGAGCAAGGGAAGCATGAAAAACAAAGAACAAACTCCTTTTGAAGAATTTCTTTTCTTTTGCTCCAATTGGGACTTCAGTTGCCTTAACTTGGGGCAGAATCTAGGGTTTCATTAAATAGACATTGCATTGCCTATATTTGTGTAAGTGTTTGGATGCTTTTCTGACAGTAATTTAACCCTGTTTACATATGAATTGCATGAAGGAGACAATATTCACATTGTATTAGTGCTAACATTATTTTCTTTTTGCCTACAATGAAGAATCAGATATCTATACGAGTCCATACTCATCAAAAATAAAATTAAATGGTTGATATTCACATGAGTCAGGTGCTGACAAGTGACAACTTCCTTGTCTATAAAGCAGAGTTGGAAAGGTCCCCACATCTCCGCATCATATAACAATAAAATAGTCAAAATACTCCGAATGTAAAAAAAAAAAAAACAGAACAAAAGTTTTAGATGGGCACTGACAAATTTCTTGTCTAAAAAGCAGAGTCAGAATGTCAGATATAAAAGTTCCCATGAATTATTCCAATTCAAAGAAGCACAAGAAAAAATTAGTAACTTTTACAACAAAAAATATTTACCTGGTGACGGAATACAAGATATGCCAAGCCAAAGAACACTACTATAAAAGGGAGTAGAATGGGTGTGACCACAGCATAAACAAGGCCAAGTAAGAAATAAAGTTGAATTTGAGGTTCGCCTGTGTTGAAACCAAGACTTCCTGGATCCATTGCCTCTTCCCTATCCTTTTCGGTCTTCACCAAGAAGAAATTCTTCAAGTGGTAAATTATTAATGGTTTCACCCTCAAAATTTCCCCGGCAATACCCGCCCATCCATCAACCATTATATAAGTTATGAAGAAAGTTGCTTTCATAGGAATTGCTACACCAATTGTTTTTGGAACTCTGCACAGAAAAAAACTTAAGTTTGTATGTGGCCTCCCAAACTGAAATACCAGATGAAAATTTATAGCAAGATATGCAATCCCAAACTACATATAAAAAAGTTAAGAATGTTTTTTCCTGTTTTCCAGATTAGTAACAAAATGTCCATTAAGAGAAGTTTTTTTTTTTTTTTTTTTTTTTTTTTTTTTTTGAATTGTGTGACTAGAAAGATAAATACAAGATACATTTCATGAGTGCTCACTTAACACAGTACAGTACCCCAGTTCACTCCCAATCCAAGTAGTCTGAATTTGGAACTGGCTCATGATTTATTTAGGTAACAATGACCAGTATGGTTTTCCAAAACAACCATGATTACTCTTGATGTTGACATAAATGAAAAATACAAGAAAGCACCTTCCTAAACAATAATTGGAAAATTATGTGCAAAATCAGACACCTAATACATTGACTAAATTTGGAGAGAGAACATACTCATTTGCTGACTGGTGGATAAAAGAATTTAGTTGTTCAAATGCAGTTCCAGTGATTATGCTTCCAAGAAACACATTAACGAGTTGGAACAGATAATATCTAGATGCAGATCTTCTCTCCAGAGATGACAAGGAGGTAAAGCCTTCAAATTTAGACATTATCATCAATATTGTTGGCAGAAAAATAAGGAATATCTTTAGAGCAATCCCAGGTAGAAACCCTTGGATAAATGACTTGATAAATTTCCTGCATGATGAAATGATCTAGTATTAAGTATGTATTTGTAGTAAAATATATTGAATGAACAGAACAAGCAAGTAACCTGTGGTTATGGCTTGTCTCTCCACTAATGCCAATCTCAACCATTAAAAGCTACTAACATGCAAATGACCACAAAATGCAGGACAGTAACAACATGCAATTCCAACTCTATGTGTTAAGCATGTTCAAATTCTTATTGAAGAAAACGAGTTAAAGGAAATAAATTTTGTGAAAACATAAATACTACCGGGAGCAATGTACATAAGAAAGGAACCTGGAAGTAGAGGACACTCACACTTCAATTATGGATTTCAGGAACGGTGCAGATTTCTCAATACCTTCAATGTTTGCTAGGGACTGCACGAAGGCTATTGGAATCATAAAAAAGAAGGTAAGGAAGAAGAATGCAACAGCTACAATAAGCCTCCTAACTGTAAGTGAAACAAATGGAATTGCCAGATTTTTCCAATATACATCACGGGGCTCTGGAGCCCACTCAGTCAACCATAAAGTAGGATTTCGTGACTGCTGAGTTTGCGCACAAACAGCAGCACCCCACCGAGTTTTGAAGGAAACAAATGCTGCTGGCATGATAGATTTAGGGTTGCTTCTAACACTTTCTCGTTCTGCTTCAATCTGTACAAATGGCAAGTCCGTTCAATAGGAATTAAAGTGTGGTTTTGAGTTATTATCTGGATTAGAAAGAAAATTAAAGACAGCAGGTTGGCATGTATCAAGATTACTTTGCATCATCTTTATGTATGTCTATGTATATAAAATGATGTACATACAAATAGGAGTCTACAATAAAATAAGTACAGTATTTTCTACAGAAACAGAGACAAAATATACAGAAAAACACAGCAACAATGTATAACTATCTTGCCCTGATCTTTCTTATCAATAACAATATTAGAAAGAGTTCTATTGATATAAGGATATAGTGGGACCCCACTTATCAATGCAATAGTAGGGGCAAAGCATTACACATCATTTTTTATTGTAATTGTAAAACCATACAACCATGAAATAGCAAGGAACAAAAGTACATCACCAAGAATATGAGCTTGAGGATACAATGGGTGAGGAGAACAGCAAATGGGTTAGCAGATAACTCTAGCCAAGCAAAGGGTGAATAGGTCTTGTTTGTAATGTTTATACTTTCAGTCTTAATAAAATTTGAAGTCATTAATCAAAAAGAAAAAAAAGTACAGAACCTTGGTCCTTCCTTTGAAAGTCTGAAGCAGGGGGAACAATTATTATTTCCAAAGTGAACTTCCTTGTGGATCTCATGATTTTCTAACATGCATACTATCATAAAAGCATATCTTATAATCAGAGAAGTGAACTTTTATGATACAGGAAAGGAAAACCTTTCTAACCAAATCTTATACTTTAAATATAAAAAATATAGAATGGAAATTGGACAAATACACTGTACCTGAACCACTAATTAGAGGACCTATAGGAAGAAAAAGATATGCTCCTTGTGCATCTGCAAACAAAATTTGTTTGTGGCTGTACTAGAGCTAATCTCGGGGTGTGTGAATTTGGAAATTCATTTGTTAGAGCACCAGCATTAAGCTTGAGAAGTAGCAGTGTAATTCCTATTCAAACATTAAAGAATGGAAATGCCTGTGGAAAAATAAGTAGTTGAATGGTGAAAAAGTACACACTTTTTCAAGGTCATACACCCAATAAAATATCCTGGCACTTCAAAGATGTAAGTATTGATCATAGTGTCCAATAAGTGGAACTTACTTCTTTTGATAGTTCATCAATCTTAGATGTGTAATAATCAATTGCATCCACCCTCTCTCCCCAAAGACCTAGAAAGCCAGTCTGTTTAATACAGAAGAAACCAGAGCAGAAAATCAGGGTTCACAGCTTGACATCAGAATTATAAAAGATTAAGACAAAGAAAGCATATAATGTAGTATACTAACCTTCATTGTTGGTTTCTTTGATGGGTTTCTAGTATGTTTAAGTTGATTATAGTCAAGCCAGTTCTGTAACTTTTTCTTCTCCTCAATCATTTTAGCAAGTTTGTTTGCATTGTACACAACCTGCAAATAATTCTCTCAATAATGGCTGAAAGAATAGAATTCCTAGAACCTAGACTAAATAAATGTAAACAGTGCAGACATCTATTTAGCCATAGTGCTTATAACAGACATCTATTTAGCCATAGTGCTTATAACAGACATCTATTTAGCCATAGTGCTTATAACAGATATTTATCATGATTGTGTGTGTATGTGTAATTGTGTATATATGTATATTATTTCTTTTGATCAATAACAATTTCATTAATTCACCAAAGAGGTTACATAAGGAAGACAAACACACTTATCTTCTAAGTACAATCAAGAAAACAAAAGAATAGGTAGAGACAAAAAATTACAACTTAGCCCAAAACATTGAATCCCTTTCTGCCCCTTGTTCAGCTAGAGAATTGGCTGATCTTTTGACCCCGCACATTTTAACTTCCATCTCCCGCACCAGCCACTTGTAGAGGAGACGGGCCGAATGGCCCATAGACTGTCATTTCATGTTATGTTATGTTTCCCTCTGTAATGGGCCTTATTCTGGGCCCATACTCTGTAATGTTCTGTTTTTGTAATTTCTTGCCCACTCAAGGGCCTCTCTGTAATATTTCAAAGATTAACTAAATAAAATGTTTAGAGTGTTAGAGGGAGGTTTAAGTT